AAAATCAATTTTTTGTGAATTTGAGTTATAGTGGCGTTCACCGTGCAATTATATTTATTACCACCACCATGTATTTCTTTGTCTATTTCGAAGAAAGTTAATATAGTTGTTCTTCACTTTCTAAAAAGTTCTCTAATAGAATTATCTAACTGTACCACATATTAATTAATATATTTAAAAGAAAAAATTGTTATTAATGTTTATATGTATAAGTTTTTTAAAAAAAAAAAATTCTCAAGTACTTTTGTACAACAATTGAGATCTGCCAATATTAATATTATTGATGAAATATTACATGTTTTATAATAATAATGAATAAAATAAATGTATTCTTTTCAGTATTTTTACACATTACGTACCTTATACGCGGAATCAAAACATACTAGAACTTGTCCAGTATTAGTATTAATATGTCACAAATTCCGTACTGATTCCGTATCAATTCTGTATTTCATACTAAATTTGAAAAGGGGTAATTTTTCAAAACCGTATAAGAAATACGTTAATTCCGTATATATATTTTTAAAAACGTATTTAACATACGTTAATTCCGTATTTTATTTTTCATAGGGCATGTAATCCAGAGAGTGTGGTATTGAGACTAAAATAGATAAAGTTTAAATTTCTTCAAAGGTATCTGCTTTCTTATAAATTGAATTCAGAAAAAGAACAATTAGCAATCTCTTGGATTTTGACAACACCAAGATTAGATGCTTTAAAAGAAATTGTTGATACTTTTGCAAACCATCTAATTTTTTAAAATAAATTTCAAAATAGATTTGATATCTAGATATTGAAAGCCTTTCCACCTTCATAGCATTTCGCCACATGTAAAGCTCCGAATGAGCCGAGCCGATCCGAGACCTCGAGCCGACTTGAGATTTAATATTATTTTTTTATAGTCAACGATTTTGCAAACCACTGAAAATAATTGAAGCTTGAATTTAGAACATTAAATCATCATCAAATAATTTTATGGCAGACTAAAAAATTCCAATATCTATTTCTAAATAAAAAATGATTTTAGGTTCTGGAATATATACATATATTTAAAATTCGTTACGTTTCAATGGATTTATGTTGTTAAAAATTTATAGTACGCAAATTTAATTATAATTCGTTGAAACGACTGTATAAAATTTCACAATGCAATGTTTGCTCAAAATGCAAACCATTTAAAAAATCCTTATTGTTATTGAATTGATCTAGAGTTCCTATTGTAATACAAATTCTTATTCGAACAACAATCAGAAATCAATTCCTTAACCTTTTTGGGAAGTTATTTCATGCTTCTCACAATTAGTTTAGCAAAAAAAACTCCGTTTTTATTTTATTCAAATTATTCATTTTTTTTTATCGTTTTATAGGAATTTCCTATTTGTTTTGCTCGTTTTTATTCGTTTATTTGAATTATTTGTTTATTTGTTTTATTCATTTCACTCAATTATTCAAATCATTCGTTTTATTCATTTATTTGAATCATTCAGATCATTCATTTTATTCGCTTTATTCTCTAAGTTTAACAGACTCGAGCTAAAACTTGAATGTGTATAAATAAATAAAAGTATCAGAATAAATCATTCATTACTAAAAAAATTTATGTAACATTAAACTCGAGCTTGGCTTGAGCTCGACTCAAAAAACTCTAACCCATTATTTCTTGGATTGAGCTCGGCTTGAACTCAAAATTTTGAGCTTCAGCTCGAGCCGAGTTTTTGGATCTATTGTGTAGTTTTGAAAATAGTTGTTTTTCAACTATATAGTAAGGAGTTTGTTGGTCACGGTCACGTCTCCATCACTCTTCTCGTCACTTTCAATGTCCATCTCCTTATTTAACAAGTGTATCAGTTTTTACAGATCTTAGATGGTACTTGGAGTGAGGTAGTGTACCAAGACAGGATGTCTGGTTATTGGGTAAGTATCATCAATTTCGGATTTCGTGATGTATTCCGTGACGTATTTCGCAAATCCTGTGGATGTCATATATTGAAATTTGCGCGTCTTGGAATGACGACTACATCCGGAAAATATAAAAAAATTTTACACGTGTCAATTGTAAGTTTAATAATAAAAAAGTGTAAAACTTACGTCGGCACTATAAGATTTACACAATATTACGTCGGCATCGTAAGATTTATGCAAGTTTACGCTAAATTAATTTCCTGATGTAAATATGGAGGATGGGAATCTCTGCTGGAATTTGACTGCAATAGTGGTTCAACAAGTTGAAATAATTTAGATATGTGCCTTTTTGTTTATTATATTTGAATTATTCAGATAAATTTTAATATATTAATTCATGCTCCATGAGACAACTACAAAATTTTGAGCATAATGGACACTGTTGCAGATCACAAAAACAATTATTTCATTGGCCAAATTTTTGTTGATCTTATTCCAAATTATCACATAAGATCTAATTTTGATATCATAGTGGAAATTTGTTGTTACACGAAATGTTATACAGAACCCATTGCTCCTGAAACTTCACCAGTATATATATAATTGTTACCTACCTAAATTGGATATCAAGTTCAGCAGTTACTTTTTATTGCCAGAATGTTTGTCATGTATTGTAAAGCTACGTTGCACAATATAAAAAATTAGTGCAACATTTTAAATTTCCACTATGCTAATTTTGATTGGGTTTGACAATTATTATAAATAAAAAATCACAGCATTAAAAAATTTCAACTTTTGATAATCAAACACAACTTAAAGCCAGCTTGGGATTATGGGTAGGAAAATACATATTTGTAATAAAATTAAATATTTCATTTAGGAAAGCAATAAAAACTATTATTTATTACCTTTGTTTATTTGTTTTAATAATATCAAATAATAATAATAATAATAATAGTCACATAGCATTCTTTCTGATTGTATAGATCCATTTTTTAATTAATGCAATGTTGTATATACATACTCTTATTGTTAATAATAGTAGTATTATTATAGTAATATCAACTAGAATATTTTGATCTATCACTGGTAAAAAAATTTTTAAATGTTAATAATTAAATTTATATAATTTTTTTTTAAATTATATTAAAATATTCTATTTTCTAATATCAATAAAATGAACAATAATGATATTATCCAAAAACCTTATGTCTGCTTATTATAAATCAACTGTTATATTATCTTTCAATAAACTACAAATATAATAATAATAATAATAATGGAGTTACACGAGCAAATACATACACTCCCCTACAAAAAATATCCAACCACTTGTGCTGTGTAACGTCAAATGAAAAAATTACTTACTAAATAAAGTACGTTTTCTTAAATAAAACCTTTTCTGCGATACTAAGTAAACTCATATTTGATATCAAAGCTCTATATTACAGAAATTTCGAACAGTTCAGTATGGTATTAATGGAAATACTTAACAAATCATCCAAAAAAGCAAATTTCCGATTGAATTTTTTTTTACATGTAATAAAAGGTCAAATTTTTTTGTTGTAATGTATATTATTACCTTAATAAAACGTGCTTAACGTAAC